ATAGCTCAGTTTAGCCTAATTTCTACTCCTGAGGCATTTTGGAAAAATATTTCCAGAAAATTGATCCATTTTCCCCCACCCAAATTGCCATTTACTTTTGGGGCAAAATGGGTGTTGCTTGTAGTGTGGAAAGGTTGCCTTCCAGCCAGCGAGGCATGTACCTTGCCGGTGTGGTAAGACCAATCAAACCCATAAAAAATTAAAAGACATATTTAAAAGACAAAAATAGTAAATACAAACTCAAGAAATCAGGTAATAAAATCAAATAGTCATGATAAAGCCTTTTATTCTCAAATCATAGTTAATTTTCTTGATATTTTATTTCATATATAATTACACTTCACAGAATAGAGGTATAAAACATACAAGGAAGGTTATAAAAAGGTATAAATATAATTACAAAACAAATCATACAACATAACAAGAATGGTCAACAAGGAATTAGAAATAATGTAATGTTATAAAGCTAAAAACCATTCAGAAGGAATAGAATAATATAATAATAAATCATAAAATCATTCAGCAGATCTTATTAGTTAATTAAGCAGATCATTAATAATTAATTACACAGCCATTTAATTAATTACACAGCCATTTATTAATTACACAGTCACTTATCATTAATTTCACAACATGAAGATCATTAATCACACAGATGACATCATTGAAAAACATAGCAGCAGAATATTGATTTCACAACAGTACATCATTAATTCCACAGCTGCACATCATTAATTTCACAGCTGTAAATCATTAATTTCATAGCATGACATCATCATGACATCATTAAATTAGCAGTATGAGGTCATTACCTAGTCAGACCAATCATTCTCATCAGTGAAGCTGTTTACCATCCCCACCAAAGATTTTGTCTATAAATAGAGGCCCTCCTGGCCCATGTTTCACTTCCTTCCTCCCCATGTCTGCATCAGAGAAATAAGTAGAGATCTTATTGAGCATTCATCAAACCCCCTACATGTCTGCATCAGAGAAATAAGTAGAGATCTTATTTAGCATTCATCAACCCCCCTTACATGTCTGCATCAGAGAAATAAGTAGAGATCTTATTTAGCATTCATCAACCCCCCTTACATGTCTGCATCAGAGAAATAAGTAGAGATCTTATTGAGCATTCATCAAACCCCCTACATGTCTGCATCAGAGAAATAAGTAGAGATCTTATTTAGCATTCATCAACCCCCTTACATGCTAGCTACAGAATAGTAATTAGAGATATTACTTAGCTTTCATCAACCCTTATATTTCAGATACAGAATAGTAATAAGAGAATTTACTAAACCCTTACTCCTCATCCCTTTATTGAACCCTGTTAAATAATAAGGAAATTATTTAACTCTCCTCAAACTCTCAACAGAAGATATTGAAGAAATAAAGACTCACTTTATTTAAGACCCAGAATTGAACCAGAGAACCCAGAAAGAATAGATTAAACCAGAATAAACCAGAAACCCTCAGATATCTCCTAACTCCAGAAGCTCTTGACCATCCAATCCATCCACCCTTTATAAACAACTCAACATCCTCAACAGGTAGTATCTTCACTAAGATAAATTTTAGAAATCTACCACACTATTATTTTTCTTAGTGTAACTCTCTCACAAGCTAGACAAGGAGGGCAGTCTCACCAACACCCATTTATTATTATTACTATTTAATAGTTTTATTAATATTTATCCCCTCCAAGCTCTTCACTCATTAGCTGAGCAGTTCCACACCGGCTGGAAGGTTTCCCTTCCAGTCGACGAGGTACATGCCTCGCCGACTGGAAGGACCTTGCCGGCTGGAAGGAAACCCTTCCAGCCGGCCATTGGTCTCGGGTATCCCAGGGGATACCCGGATATCCGCCGGGATTTGGGGGGGAAAGGACATCCGCACCCGAATCCGCATCCCCTGGCGGGTATCCGCTGGCCCTGGCGGATATCCGCCAGCGGATAGCGGATATCCGCAACGGATTATCCCCGCCCATCTCTAACCCACACAGAAAAAAAGAGAACAAAATCTCTTTTGATTGGTGCAGCAGGTGTTGGGTAGTGGGCAAATCTAGAAGCAATAAGTCACAGCCAAGTGTATAATCACAAGTCAAATCATCATTGCTAAATGAGGAGTAAGGTAAAGTCTGGTTTTCATTTGCAGCACTTGGACTTCCAATATTCCTTCCCGGAATATGTACTCCGCTTGCTTGCCAGTGAATTACCCTTCCAGACAAATAGGACTAAGTTGCTCTCCAAGTTGGAATCCAACCTGGAGCAAGTCCATATACCTTGCATTTGCTTTCTGGGGATTAATTTTGCAGGTAATGATTGAGGAGAAATCTTCCCCAGGACTTGGGTAGTCCTTACAAACAACATGCCCACCTGCCGGGTAACAAATTGTTCCCAATGGCCCAACAAGGCTTGAGAAGTGTGACAGCCAGATGCGGGGCATGATATTAAATTGTATCTTGTTGACAATTGCAGTCTGCATTCCTGAACACGTCTGGCATCTATTTCTCTTGTTGTACAGTCTCCTCCCAGATGTTTATAGCCATCTGTTTTGAGCTCCACACCAGGAACCCAAAAAATTCAAGTCACAAGAGTTTGTGGAGTGGTGGAAAATGGGTCTCAAAGAATAAATGTGAAAAATAATAATAAAAAACAAGATCTTAAAATTTGCAAAAAGTGAAATTTAGAAAATCACAAAAACTGACAGCTCTAATATTTCTTTCAGGAAAATATGAAATCTCAGAAGTCATAGTATGAGATCTGGAATGAATAATAAGAAGTGAAAATTTGAAAAAAATGACTACTTGGTGGTTAAAAAAGGGTGTCTGGGGGTCATTCATCAAGAAATGCGGCATTCTGGTACTGCAATCTACTAATTTTGACTGCAGGGTGTCCACCCACCATGCTCAAACACTTTTTGGATCAATATTTTCATTTATAATCATTCTTTTCATGTTCCAAACTTTCCCTCTGTGTGTTCACTTTTCACTCAAAAAAAAAAATTAAGTTTTCAAAAAAAATTTGATTTTCTTTTATCTTTTTCACAAATTTTAAAATCTTGTTTTTTATATTATTTTTTCATATTCATTCTTGGAGACCCATTTTCCACCATTCCACAAACTCTTGTGACTTCCAAGTTTTTTGGTTCCCTGTGTGGAGCTCAAAACAGATGGCTATAAACATCTGGGAGGAGACTGTACTCAAAATTGAGCTTGCCCAAGCCTATAAATAAAGGCCATCAACCTCACCAAAATCAAACTTCAGGTCATGTCTTACCTTTCCAAGTCAACCAAGAATTCACAAAGACTGGATTGTGTTATTACTGCACATACTGAGCAAGTATGTTGTAGGATCACATTTTGTGTAACCAATACACAGAGATCTACAATTGGAGGACTTCCCGTCAACATCTGCGGGTCTCCCAGAGCTGATTTAGAGCCTCAAAATTCAAATCTCCCTGCGAGAATTAAAAGTTTTCGGCTCTAGATCGACTTCTGCGAGGGTCCCAGATCCGACGGGAAGTCCTCCATTCATCATGTATTTCTGTTCTACTTATTGTTTTCAGATTCCGTTAGGTAGTGTTGGGCCAGTGTAGGAGCATCGTCCCACCTAAAATGGCAAAGCTCTCACATCAAAATTCAGGGATTGCCTGCAAGCCCCTCCTTTGCAGGCTCGCTTTGCGAGGGACGTGAACAGAAGGACATTCCATAAGAGTGCGTTCCACGAATCCAGGCTTTGAAAAAAAATACAACCTGCAGCCGGATACCCGGTGTCGGGGCCCGGAATACCAGGCACGGATGCCGGATGAGCCCTACCCGGACCCGGCGAACCGGATCGAATCCATAGCCACCCGGAGGAGCCGGCCGGGCTTGATGTTGACCGACGCCTCCCGGACTTTCCGGCGCAATGGGAATGGAGTTGTCTCATTGAACGATGTTTGACCGTTGCATACATACATTGTTTTATGTCGCGGAAACTCTTCGCGGGGTTTTGACTCTGGGGCCAGTCGCGGAAAACGTCTATGTACTGATTTCGCTCCGGGCGAATCAGGCGGATCCCATTTGCCATGCTCTACTGTGTTTCAGACTGGGTAAATACCGAATCTGAAGCGATGTTACAGGTGAAGAATTCGTTACCAATTCTTTCGTTCTCGATGAGGCAAGTAACGTCGATCCTGGTGCACCTCATGGAGGCACACCGGTGTGAGGACGTGCCTTTAAGAGCTCAAGTCATCTACAACCTTCCCTAAGTTTCCCGTGTCCACCAAACCTTTCACTCATACATATATCTACAATACCCTTATCTTCTAATAATATTCTCTGCCCTAACCGCTTGCGGTGAATATTTATACACGCATCTTCCCAAATTCGCAATGGTTCGGCGTTCATTAGTACAAAGCAAATTGACACCGGAGACATGGCTTCTCCTTTCTTCTATATTCATGACGACAGTCAACGCCGCTGGCGATCCGACCCTTTCTCGGCGCAACCTGTTTCCATCGGCTGCCAAAAGCAGCCCGGGAGCGACCACAGTCCAGCCTCAGGCTACCGGTCCTGCTGCCAGTGGATGTGTTCAGCCACCGCTTACCAATACCACATGGATCCAACTGGGGATAGACAACTATCTGGCCAATCTTCCAAACGGTACCTCTTTGAATCTTCAGGCAAGCTACAAATCTGGAAGCCTGCTACAGCTATATATGATCCCATAAATATTTCTGATACATTTCTATAACAGCACTATGCAGCTTCAGTTGGAGCTCCTGATTTCATTTGCGGAATTGGAGAAAAGTGCCAGGCTGGCCAGGTAAGCCCGGGTCTGTGAACTCGTTAATCAATCTTGTCCGTAAGCTCATACATTACCAGCATCATAGTTGTGCAGCCCAGTCCAAGCACCTGGGTGGGAAGTTTTGGTTGCAGCACAAGAATGGAATAACTATCAGAACCAATTTTATGAAGCAGTGGGTACTGCAGTTCAAATGGTCACATGTAAGCCAACCTCTTTCATCTGGGCGCGATGGATTGGAGGACTTCATCTTTGACTACAAACCTTCTCAAAATATCAGCTATTTCGGGTGCACTTGTGGTCGACTTGTCAGTGTATTTGCAACCGCCATTGCGGCTGTGATGTTATCTTTTTTGATTGATCGACTGATCTTAACTGATGCAACTTCACATATGTAATAGGTACCCACCTAGCCACACCGGTGGTATCTGGGATATATTCAATAGTTTCAATTTGGCTTCTGGAATCACTGCCGGTGTAGTTGCTCTGCTAGTTCTACTTGTCGGGGCCGGCGCTGTCATTGCGACACCTCTTGCAATCCTTTCTCTAAGTGCCGTAGCAGTAACCTTCGGTGTTACTGGCACAATCTCCATACAGGAAGCACTGAAGCACCGCGGAACGAATGCATTCGATAAAGTAAACAGATCATTTTGAGTAGATGGAGCAAAAGAGTCTAAAGTCTAATACCTTCCCTTCCAAACCACTAGTTTTCGGTTTACGCTTTTTACCTGTCCGAATGGCAGAAGCACGCTCAAAAAAGTATTGCCAACTACACAAGAAGCATCATTGCATCGGGTGTCAGTTCACCTCAAGGTATATCAACCGTCTTGAAGAATGGTACCTTCTTTCGCGAGCGCCCTAGCTTGAATGAAGCGGAATTAGTTTCAAGCCTCAGAAACACTACCACAGTTCGCATCATGACAGATATTCTTAGAAGCCAGGTGAGATTTTTTTTTCCTTATGTTAATCGCTCTCAATTGCTAATCAATTTAGCTTGAAACAAACAGGGAGCATTTGTCACGATCGCAAGTGTAAGCGTCTCCCACACGCACTACGTATTGAGATTGATCCGTTATCACGGCACTCAAAGATGGGTATCAATTCTTTCACAGGATAAATGCACTGGAAAGGGCCCAGGTGGAGCCTGGAAAGGAACCGACAAGTTGTCTTATTGCTCCCCCAATGGAACGTCAGTGAGGTTTGAATTGTTGTCACAAATGTACACCGGTTTGATTGACCCATCTCGTGGGCTTTGCAGCATGTTCAACATCATCCACTCGGGTAAAAAGAAAGTTCTTAACACATGGTGGAACGCTGATCTGATTGCCAAGAAATACGGAATCTCAGTCCAATACCTTGCCGAACAATCATATTTTTGTCAATTGAACCACGGCACGGCAAACTTTGACCCTTACAAATCTAGGTAGCTATTCCAACTTCTTTCATTCCTGCGACTCATAACTGTAAACTAAAACGTGCACCCCCCAAAAAGTGCTTTTCCTAAAGATTTGTCAGCCGAGTGTATTTCAAACCTTCCTGTCTGCGATTTCAGAAATCCTGGTAAGTCAATTCTTTGATTAAATTTTAACGAAATTAAAAGGAAAAAAGGGAGCTAACCGAATACTTCGGACCATGTACTAGATGTCGCCGAAGCCAAGAAAGAGAAGAACACCATCCACGCTTGCCGAAATGTTGCGAAGCTTCCAATCTGAGAATTTTTGGGATGCGTAAACTTTGCAACGAATATATCATCATGCATTGCGGTGTTTATAGATGTGCTCGTGGGCTTCTTTCACATGAAGCGGGAAATAAACTGCTCTCATTTTCACAACATTTGAAACACTTTTTCTCTATTCAGCAGAACCTCTACTCTCGCAGAAAACAACCACCAAAGGGAAGCCCAGATCCTCATCTCCATGATTTCTTCTGAGGTCAATCTTTCAAAGGATTTTTTTCTTTTTCCTTCAATATTCTTTGCAGCTCAAAGTCCCACCTTTTTTTCAGCAGTAACAAAAAAATTACACTTCATTTTCATTGCCTCATGCTTATGTTTATTTGTTTAGCAACATCCAATGTCCCTTCTCAGTATTTTGTTGCATAGATTTACTCTTCCTGTGTTCTTTGGGTGGCCTCAAGACATACAGTCCTGTATTGCCTCTATGCATAATCAAACCAAAATTAAAAAAATAACTACATTTTTCTCAACTCCTGTTTGGAATTGGAAATTGGAATATTTGAATTTGTGGCCTGATCTTTGGTGCAAATTTGATCACCGTTGAAAATTATGAAATAATGCATAGTGTGAAATCTGGAGGAAGAATGAGTAACACAATTTCTCAAATTTGGGCTCCTTAGCACACAGATTACTAGAAGAGAAATGTGAGGTGAAATTTTCTGCAGAGCTCTTGAAAACAGTTTCAAGTATGGATGCCTTGGAGAAACAGAAGGCAATCATTCAAGATCAAGAATGTGGAGAATTAGTAAATTTATAGGGTTGGGAAAATAACTCCAAATGACCATCTCCATAAAGTTCTGTAAATTGTGTTACTATGAAATGACCATCTCCAGAAATTCCTGGGAATTGTGTTAATGTATCTCTAGCTGAGATTGAGATTCAGCTTCTAATTCTGATTTTTATTTTTCTCTTCATATTTCTCTCTTTTGAGATTTACCTGCCCAACAATGGTTCAAAGCATATATAGGGGATCTGGGAGTTTTCATGTTTGGGCAGTAATAAAAACTTTTGATGCCTACTATTCCATCTACAGATTTTATCCAAAAGTAATTTGTGTGATATTTGGGAGAAATAAAGAATACAATATATACTAGGAGTTTCTCACCCCCCCCCCCCCCTGCCACTGGAAATCAGTGAGTCCTTCTGTACTTTGAAAGGGCTTGGAAAGTGGTGATGTGTGAGAATTTTCTTTGAGGTTTTTAACTTAAAATCCATGGTATTTTTCCATCCTGCTGCAATGCATCACAGAATTGGGTTCAGTGAGATAATAAAAGTTGGAAAAATAATCTAGTTTGTATTGGATGGATATAGTTCTGAAAACTTGTAATACTAGGGAACTTGCAGCTACACTGTACCATAAACAACAGAACACATTGGTCACCCTTTCACCCACAGATTGAAACAATTTGCATGTGTCAAAGTACTACCTTTTTCTTTCTGTTGGAATCTCGTCTCTTTTCCTTTCCTCTCTTCTAAAATTTCTTACTTCTGCCTCTTGTCTTGAATGATCAATAGGATCTGTTTAGAATAATCATTAGGATCTACTCCATAATCAATATGATATCTCCTCCCTTTTAGTCTGACTTATCATCCTGTTATGAATTCAAACCCCCTAGCTTGTAGTCTTAGAACCCTGACTAAGGAGGGCCTAATTTCTCTCATGTGTGTCTGCTTATCTACTGGGTTGTAGTTGCTTCATTTCTGGTTTTTGGTTGTTGTACCCTCTTCTTTGTTCTAGATTCTTCCATTTGTTTCTATTCAATTTCTTCTTATTCATTTTTCTTCATAACCACAGTTCAGACTCCTGTATCTAGTCTATTTAACCTAGTCTAGTACAAGAAATTAAAAAACATTGGTTCTCCTCATAACCTGAGTCTGACCACTTTTTGCCCTTCAAAAAGTGACACCTGAGTCCATTCAATTCTTCTCTTCCTCACACCACTCAAATTTTTCTCACTTTCTGTTGCTTTGATTGGCCAATGAAACGTGGCAAATTCCAATTCACAATCTTGCCTACCCCATGGCTTCATGCCTGCTGAAAAAAATTATTTTATTGGTCTGTTTGTAAAAACCCCTGAGATAAATCCTAAGGCTCTGCCAATGGCAAACATTTGTGTAAAACTTATTAATATGACAATGATCCAATGGTCAATCAGAGATGCAAAATGTGCTGGGTGAGTTTCTGCTGTTGGTGAGAAAGGTGCTGAGTCCACTAGTGCTGATAAAATGGTTGATCAGAGATGCAAAATCCCTGGAAGTTTTATTCTTTTGGTGAGACAGGAGCTGTCAGGGGTTAACACAATAGTGTCTTGTTTAAACAACTCCCAAGAGTTGGAGAGCCAACTCTCAAGCCCT